CCTAAACCCTAAACCCTAAACCCTAAACCCTAAACCCTAAACCCTAAACCCTAAACCCTAAACCCTAAACCACAGCCGGAGTTTTCCTAATGAAAGTCCCAAGTTCGGCATGTGAGGAAGACACAGCAGAGGCGAAGGAGAAGCCTCCTGAAGCATCAGGCAAGGGGATGCGGTTTAGGGTTTAGGGTTTAGGGTTTCGGGTTTGGGGTTTAGGAGGTTCGGGGTTTCTTATCGTAGCATGGTGCAGGGGTGGGAGCGGGGCGGTGCCGTGCGGATGCGGTTTAAGTTTCGGGCGCAGGGTTTGGGTTTAGGGTGGGGACCTGTAACTGTAGGGCGACTGCCATCAGACTTAAATCAACCAGTGCGGTCCCTGGGGGTATGGGTTTCATAGCAACTTGGCAAGGTGACAGTTCCAGAACCGCCTTGTGTGCATGCAGACGGAAACGCTACAATACCCTAAACCCTATGAACCTTAGACCCGAAACCCGCCTTTAAACCCTACAAACTCTAAACCCTATTAACCCAAAACGCTGAACCCTATACAAAAACCTTAAAACATCTTCAGCCTTCTAACCCTAAAAAGGCTTGATCTTGAATAGAGGCGCACGCCACTGCATGAACTCACCAGGTCCACACGTCGGTCTCAGGTGCATGTAGGAGCAATCGTAGGTTTAGGGTTCAGGGTTTAGGGTTTAGGGTTTAGGGTTTAGGGTTGAGGGTCTGGGGTTTGGAGTTTACAGGGCTTGGCACTTCGGGCCGTTTAAGTCTTAGTCTGTACAGAAGTTGGGATCACTTGAGTTAGCAAATGAGCCCTAAGAAATGATTCTCAGAGTTTCCAGAGAACAGGTCCTACGGGTTCAAGGAAGTTCAGGGTATCCGGTGACTACTCGCGCGTGCGCAGCTGTTCGGTGACTTTAACCCTAAACCCTATAGACCCTAAATTGGATATGTAGGGTCAGGGTCCGACTCCAGCGTTCCCCCCAACCCCTCCCTCCAGGACCACTGAAACCCTAAGACCCTAAAACCCCCAAACCTTAACACCCTAAAGCCAAAACACACGCTGAAAGGGGATTAGGGTTCAGGTTCAAGGTTTATAGGGCTTAGGGCTTTACGGTTTACGGTTGAGGGTTTAGGGTTTTACTTTAGGGCTCCGGGTCAAAACCCCAAGCAAATCCCAAGCCGCGCCATCGGCACTCCACCAACTCTGCCGAACGCGAGGTGCCAGCGAGCCGCCCCTCCCTCCACCGGCGGCTCCCGTATTCTCTGGGGGAGAGGTCTCCCCACCCAGCAGGGCTTGAGAAGGGGGGGGGGGTTTAGGGGGTTGCAGGATTTAGGGGGTTTAGAGGTTAGAGGTTGAAGGTTTACTCTCAACCCTAAACCCTGACCCTAAACCCTAAACGCTAAAGGCAACTTGCAAGAGGGGCGAAAGGGTATCGGTGAAGTCTCAGTAACTTCAGGGTTCTCGGTCTTTCGGTTGCGGGTTGAGGGGTCCGGGGATATGTAAGGGGCTTAATGCCGTTGGGGGTTGAAGGGGTGAGGGGGCTTAAATTTTGAGGTGTTGCAGTTCTAAACGGAGGGCCTATTTTTTTTGGGTCTTTTTTTTTTTTGCCTTTTTTTTTGTCGATTTTCTTGGTTTTTCCTAAGAAAACCACCATTCCCTCCATATTTTTAAAGGATTTGATGCATTCTCGTGGTTTTTCGTACGAAAAACAGTATTTTCTCTGTGGTTTCATAGGAAAGCGTTGTTTCTGGTAGGTTTTAGAAGGAAAGAAGGAAAGAAAGGAAGGAAGGATGAAAGAAAGGAAGAAAACAAGGAAGGAAGGAGGGAGGGAGGGAGGGAAGGAAGAAAGGAAGGAAGCAAGGAAGGAAGAAAGGAAGGAAGAAAGGAAGGAAGCAAGGAAGGAAGAAAGGAAGCGTGCTTCGAAGCCCAAGAAACTAGTTGAAAAACATCGTGTGAGCATTGTGTTTGCAAATGGGGGGGGGCTGCGCCCCCCCAACCCCCCCGCTTTTTTTTAGGCCGTGCTGAGCGTGCTTCAAAGCCCAAGAAACTTGTTGACACCCATCATGTGAGCAGGTGTTTGAAAATGGGGGGGGGGGCTGCGCCCCCCCCCACCCCCCCCGCTTCTTTTAAGCCGTACCAAGCGTGCGTCAAAGCCCAAAACTAGTTGAAAAACATCGTGTGAGCATTGTGTTTGCAAATGGGGAGGCTCGCCCCCCCCCCCCCCCCCCCGCTTCTTTTAAAGCCGTACCAAAACGTGCTTCAAAGCCCAAAGAAACTAGTTGAAAAAATCGTGTGAGCGTTGTGTTTGCAATGGGGGGGGGCTGCGCCCCCCCCAACCCCCCCCGCTTCTTTTAAGCCGTCCAAGCGTGCTTCAAAGCCCAGAAACTAGTTGAAAAACATCGTTAGCATGTGTGTTTGCAAATGGGGGGGGCTGCGCCCCCCCCAACCCCCCCTTTTTTTAAGCCGTTGCAGAGCGCGCTTCCAAAAGCCCAAGAAAACTTGTTGACACCCTCATGTGAGCAGGGTTTTGCAAAGGGGGCGGGGCTGCGCCCCCCCCCCAACCCCCCCGCTTCTGTTAGCCGTACCAAGCGTGCTTCAAAGCCCAAGAAACTAGTTTTGAAAATCGTGTGTGCATTGTGTTTGCAAATGGGGGGGGGCTGCGCCCCCCCCAACCCCCCCGCTTTTTTAAGCCGTGCAGAGCGTGCTTCAAAGCCCAAGAAATTTGTTGACACCCATCATGTGAGCAGGGTGTTTGCAAATGGGGGGGGGGGGCTGCGCCCCCCCAACCCCCCGCTTCTGTTAAGCCGTACCAAGCGTGCTTCAAAGCCCAGAAACTAGTTGAAAAACATCGTGAGCATTGTGTTTGCAAATGGGGGGGCTGCGCCCCCCCCAACCCCCCCGCTTTTTTAAGCCGTTCAGAGCGCGCTTCAAAGCCCAAGAAACTTGTTGACACCATCATTTGAGCAGGGTTTGCAAATGGGGGGTGGGCTGCGCCCGCTTCTTTTTGCCGTTCAAAGCCCAAGAAACTAGTTGAAAAACATCGTGTGAGCATTGTGTTTGCAAATGGGGGGGGCTGCGCCCCCCCCAACCCCCCCGCTTTTTTTCAGCCGAAGCCCAAGAAACTAGTTGAAACCCATCATGTGAACAGTGTTTGCAGATGGGGGACACAGCCCCCCCAACCCCCCTCCCCGCTTCTTTTAAGCCGTACCAAGCGTGCTTCAAAGCCCAAGAAACTAGTTGAAAGTGCAGAGCGTGCTTCAAAGCCCAAGAGGTGTTTGCAAGTGGGGGGGCTGCCCCCCCCCCCCCCCCCAAACCCCCCCCCCTTCTTTTAAGCCGTACCAAGCGTGCTTCAAAGCCCAAGAAACGAAGGAAATGACAGGATATCTGTCCAAAACGCAAGGAAAACCGGGTTTTCCTCCAGGAAAAACCAAGGAAAACCTAAGGGAATTTACAGGAAATCCGTCCAAAATGTTAAAAAAATAGGTTTTTCCCTTGAAAAACCAACGAAAACCTAAGGGAAATGACAGAAAATCCATCCAAAATGTAAGGAAAGTAGGTTTTTCCTAGAGAAAACCAAGAAAATCGACCAAGAAAAAAAAAGAAAGGCCCAAAAAAAAAAAGGACCCAAAAAAAAACTCCACCCGTTCTAAACCCTAAACCCTCGTTTGTGAACCCTTACAGACGGCACATAGCGTGGCACGCGCCAGCCGTCGCCTCAAAACTAGAATTGCTAAGTCCGGGTTTAGAGGTTAGGGTTTGGGGTTTAGGGGTTGGGCTTTGAAGGTAGTGCATCTCGGCCCCGAATGACTGCCCCTGCCAGCTAGAAGCCTTAAAACGCACAAACCCTGAAATCCTAAACCCTAAACCCTAAACCCCCCAACCCCCCAAACCCTGAACCCTAAACCCTAAACCCCAAATCCCCTGGGAGGCAACACCTGACAAGGAGGGAGCACCAGCACCGGCGGAGGCGGCACCAGCGGCCGCGGCGGAGACAGCAGAGGCTGGGCTTTTTGGGATTAAACCCTAAACATCCCTAACCCTAAACCCTAAACCCTAAACCCTAAACCCTAAACCCTAAACCCTAAACATCCCTAAACCCCAAACCCTCAGGGTTTAGGGTGTAGGGCTCAAGATGTGGTTTTCTGTCCCGGGAGGGCTGGCATCTCTGCGTACAGGGTTTAGGCTTTGGAGTCTCGGGCTTGGGGTTTAGGGTTTAGGGTTTGGGGTTTTGAGTTTAAGGTGGGTTGTCAGGGTTACTTTAACGCAGTGTTTAGACAGGAAAGACGTTCCCTCCGCAATGTGCATCGCGGGCAGTGTCGGAGTTGAGGCTCATCAAACACCAACCCTAAACTACCCTAACCCCTAAACCCTAAACCCTAGACCCTAAACCCCCTTGCAAACCCTGATAAAGGGGCCCATTGGAAATTAGAATGGGTATCTTGGGCATGTTTTCTTCTCGTTCTTCGAGGGGAGGCCCCTCTACTAAACTACGCTGAGCAACCCATAATAATAATAATATACTAAGAATATAATATACTAATAATAAAATAAAAATGACCTAAACCCAAAACCCCCCAAAAAAGCCCGAAACCCTAAAACTTCGGCCAACCTCCACCTCGGCTCTGCGGACGTCTCTCGCCGCCAGGGCGTTTGTGCCCATGTTCCCTGCCTGCCTGATAATTCCAAACTAAGCCCTACGCCCTACACCCCGAGAGATTACAGGGTTCAGGATTTAGGGTACAGGCCTTCAGGATCTGCACTAGTCCTAGACCCTTTCGGCCCAAAGACTTAAATCGTTTGATGAGCTTGTGCATTTGGCGCCGATGCAACTCACGAGGTACTGTCTACAAAGCACAAAGTGGCACATTCGCAAAGCTCTACACTCTGAAAGTGACATCAATGCATCAGCCGTGTGAGATTTAACTTTGCATCCCAGCAGTGGAAGAGAAGCAGCATGGAAGTTTAGTCACGTGTGTAGCTCCATTGAGCAACTCTCGCCATGGCAGATGATGCTCGCTATCATTGCCTTCTTTGTGCAGAGGCCTTTGCCAGATGGTCAGCTTGCAACTTACATGGATGGACGGTTCATGGGCAGACTTTTGATAGGCAGGAGTGTGAAAGAGTTGCGATTTGTCGGTCTATGCCCTTCAAAGAACTGTTTCGGCGATATGCGCTTGCGCCAAGCAGACCGGCAGAAGTTCGTTTGCAAGTTTTGAAGCTGCAGGATGTATGGCGAAGTGCCGTCTTTCAGGAAGGACTCCAATATCAGAAGCACACTCAAACATTCCATGGCATTCCTGGGCATGAGACCGAGTTCATTTTGTGGTACCTCTTTGCGGCTCGAATGTTTTACCTGGCAGGGCCTCATGTGTACCATTCACTGGGTCGGAAACAACCCCTTCGGTGGGAGAAGTGGGGGCAACCTACATACCGCGCACCCACCACGCCGCTTTTTACAGAATGGCCTTGGTGGGAATACAGCCCGCAGCTTCTTTCAGAACCACCAAAACATATCGGCAAAGATGCCCTCCTGGGCCTGGTTGTTGTTCATGAAGCCCGCCGTCCCCGGGAAGACTTCTTGGAGTTCTTGGAACATGCATTGTCCACATGGTGGTGTGCCAGTCGTGAAGACCGGGAAGATATTCTGGCATCGTTGTTTGATATGGACGCAATTGCAGCAGTCTTAGCATTCTTGCTTGAAGATGGCGGTGGCTACTTACACTTGTTCTTGGCCACAGTTGAACGTGTCTTTTGGTCACGTCGGTCACGTTCTGTTGTTTTTGGCTTGGCTTTGTGCAATCGAACCACTCTCGACCCGTTCTCAAGCCATTATGCCACCGAAGTAAGAGAAACCATGGAAGAGTTCGACTTGATGGAGGAGGAAGATCACGTTGACGATCGCACAGCAGTACCGCTGTTTAACTTGGTCTGTCTCATGCGGCATCTTTTCGATGCTGATGTAGCATGGAAAAGATGATATTGGTTAGAAATTTTGGTTAGCTCGCACTGCGATACTACTGTTTGGTTAAGAACCCCCCACAAGCATATGGGTGGCTTTCGAAATTATGATCCCTTTTGGGGTACCCTAAATATTAGGTGCCGTATTATAATAGGGATCCAAAAAGGGACCATAATTTTGACAACCACCCATATGCGTGTATATAGATATACATATAGGGATTATTATTCTCTTTCTATTTTTCGGAGGGTTCTTAACGAGGAACCGGCAGCTGCTAGAGCAGAAAAGGCTCGGAGGGCCGAACCCGTTGTGTGGCGAGGCGCGGGCAAAGGTTTTGCTATAGCTTAAGCTACGCCGAAGTACCCAACCTGCCCCAAAACCCTAAACCCGAAACCCTAAACCCTAAACCCTAAACCCTAAACCCTGAACCTGGAACCCTTACACAAAACCACCCTAAGCTGCCGCATCCCGGAGCCTGAAATGCCCCCCTTATAGTACCCTGCAAAACCCCAATCCCCCCCCCGCACCCCAAAGCCCCAAGCCCCAAGCCCCAAGCCCTAAACCCTAAACCCTAAACCCCAAACCCTAAACCCTAGACCCTAAACCCTAAACCCTAAACCTAGACCCCAAAACCCTGAACCCAAAGCCCCGCTGCAGAGGCAGAGCAGGAGCCGAAGGAGTACTGAAAGCAGCTTCTCGTCGTTTTTTTTCCGGACAACTTCCTTACAGGGTTTAGGGTTTGGGGTTTAGGGTTTGGGGTTTAGGGTTTCGGTTTTAGGGTTTGGGGTTTCGGGTTTAGGGTTTAGGGTTCGGCCAGCTTCCTTCAAGGGTTTTGGGTTTAGGGTGCGGGGGGTGGGTTGGGGGCGGAGAGGGGGGTGGGGGGGGGGGAGGGTGTCCAGATCATACTGAATCTAAAACCCTCGTCCTCAAAGGTTCAGGGTTTGGGGTAAACCCCCAAAACAACCCTGTGAGCTCTTAACCCTGGTTTTAGGGCTTCAATGTCAAGCCCTGTAGCCCCAAACCTTGCAACACAGCTCGTGTTAAGGGTTGAGTGCTGGTACGGTTCAGGTTTCAGGCTTTAAGGACCCCAAGAGACCCTAGACCCTACTCTTAAACCCTAAACCCTAAACCCTTTTTCAGGGTTCAGGGTTGAGGAGCTTGCAGAATTTAGGGACCCTTGGGTTTGAGGCTCTGCGGGTTAGGCTTTGGAGTTTCGAGGGTTTAGGGTTCAAGGTTTAGGGTTTGGGGTTAGGGTTTGGGGTTTGCAGATTAGAGGCCTTTCAGGGTTTGGGGTTTAGCCTAAGAAAGAAGGGTTTAGGTCTTTCAGGGTTTAGAGTTTAGGGTTTAGGCTGTTTAGGTTTTAGAGTTTAGGGATTGAAGGCTGTATGTTTACCGTTACTGGCCTTCGGGTCTCAATTGAACCGTAAACCCTAAAACTACAAAACTTGAACCCCCTAACCCTACTGCGTCTGATACCCTTTCTTACTCTGCCTCTGGTTGCTTCTACGAGAGGCATAGAAGAGAACATCCTCAAAACCCCAAAAACCGGTTTAGGGCTTTTAAGGGTTCAGGGTTTAAAGGGTTCAGGGTGTAGGGTTTAGGGTTTAAGGCCGAAAGACGAACTCCCAGGATTTGGCGCCGCCCACACAACTGCCTGCAAGCTGAGGGGCACCCACCTCGCACGCGAAAGAAATGACCACGTTTGGGGGGGGGGGGGAGGGGGTTGGGTTTAGGGTTTGGGGTGTAGGGTTTAGGGTTTAGGGTTTAGGGGTTTAGGGGTTTAGGGGTTTAGGGGATTAGTCGCAGGTCCATGCCCTAACTACCTCAAGCCCCAAAGCACTAACCTCTAAAACCTAAACCAGGTATGACGCTTGTAGGGCCATTTTCTGGTCAGCCTCTTTCCTTTGTAGATGGCTTTGTCGACTGGGATTGCATCGGGCATTGAACGTTATAAAAAACCAAAAAAACCATCCAAAACCCCAAACCCTATACCACAAACCCGAAACCCCTAAACCCCAAACCCTAAATCCCTAAACCCTAAGCCTAAACCCTAAAACATAAACCTGGGCTTTGGGGTCTCGTTGTTATTGCGCTAGGGGTTGAGGCTCTCAGAGTTTCGGGTCTTGCCAGAGGTGCCTTGGGGTCTTCGGGTTGAACCTCGGATTCTTGGGGGGTGGGGGGGGGGGGGGGGGGGCTTAGGTTTTTGGGGGGCGATTTAGGGGATAGAGAGGGAGTGGAGGGCCTTGGGGTTTGGGTTGAGGAATGTGGAGGATGCAGGGTTTAATATTTGGGGGACGGGTGGACGGGTTGGGTGGGGGGGGGGGGGTCCGAGTTAGGGTAAAAAGCAACCCTAAACCCCTAAACCCTAAACCAACTTGCACCCTAAACATCCCTCTCAAACCGGACCAAGTCTTCAAACCTCTGGCAGCTATGCTCGTGAGAGGCCGGAGACTGGAGAAGTCGCAGCCAGCGCCCCTTGCCTGAGAAAGTTTTGGGTACACTGGGCGAGTCTCTCATCCCAGTGAAGGTCGAAGCCTTTATGACAGTGGCCTATGAACACCCTCAACACAGGCACATGGAATCATCATCAACATCATCATCAACATCATCATCATCATCAACATCATCATCAACGTCATCATCAACGTCATCGTCATCATCATCATCATCAACATCATCATCATCATCATCATCATCATCATATACATATATATATATACATATATCCCTTTCGAAGGGGAGCAGAAGGTTATTTTTTGGGTATTGCAAAAGCCGCTTCAGAGCTGGCGGTTCGGAGGTGGGTGGGCGGGGGGGGGGGGGAGGGTTAGCATGAAAGGGGGGACAACTCGTTTGCTCAACAATAAAGTCTGAGCTTGCCTAGCTTCAGTCATATCTCCTTTCCTCCTTTCCCTAACCCCTATGCCCTCTGAACGGCTACTACAAGGTACCGCGCTGCATCCGACGCACCACACATTTCCATAGCTTCACGCCATGCTGCATAAGCCCTGCTTGCTATGCAGGTTGAGATGTCATCGCCGTTATTCTATGCTTCTCATTTTCATCATGGTTATCATCATCATCATCATCATCATCATCACCATCACAATCATCATCATCATCATCATCATCATCATCATCAGCTTCACCACTTGTTGCTTCTTTTTGGCAAAGGGTGGGCTTTGAAACCCTCAGCCTCTGGAACCTCTCAGAACCACTGCGCCCTGCTGGCTTTCCTATTACTAGGAAGCCCGAAGCCTCTCTGCCCTAAACCCCTAAACCCTAAACCCTAACCCCTAAACCCTAAACCCCTAAACGCGAAGTCGTGCTGAGGTCGCCGGCCCTAAGCTTATCAACCCTAAGCTCTAAGCCCGAGGGCCCTGAGCTCCTGACACCTAGGGTTTAGGGTTTAGGGTTTAGGGTTTCGGGCTTAGGGCTTAGGGTTTAGGGTTTAGGGTTTAGGGGTTTAGGGGTTTAGGGGTTTCGGGGTTTAGGGGTTTAGGGGTTTAGGGGGTTGAGGGTTTAGGGTACCCTTAAGTGAATACTCTGTGATAAGTTGAGAATTTCGGGCGTCCACCGCGCTCGAGACTGGTCTCTGGTGCCAGGTCTGGAACGTGAACGCGTGGCATTGGGAGGAGAAGCCCATGACGGAATGGAGCTACGGCCCAAGAAACATGAGAGTTTACATTATCTAGGATGCCCAGTAGTGCCCTTATTCCCTTTTGGGGGGTCTAGGTTCCCTTATAAACCTCTGTAAGCAAAAAGGGCCCCCTTTTTAATCCTAGGTTACTGGGCAACCTAGTTATTAGGGAGTATCTTCTTGGGGCCCTTAGTATGAGATCCTACTATTATGGGGTCTATTGGGGTCCCCTATTTTCGTAAACCCCCACATGCGAGATTTCTGGGTTTAGGGCTTAGCATATAGGGTTTAGGTTGAGATGTTTGGGTTGGACGCTCAGTGGCACCCAGATTCCTGTTTTTTGTGCCTGGGCTAGGTTGGCTTCGCTAAACCCTAAACCCTAAACCCTCAACCCCCCTGTCTACACTTAGGTTCCTGGGCAAGCCGAGGTAATTCTTTCGCGAGCATGAGCAATCCATCTTGAGCCGTTATAAACCTCTGCACTATATATGCTAGACCCTATACACCCTAAACCTCAAGCCCTAAACCCTAAAACCTGAACCCTGAATCCCCAAACCCTAGATCCCCAAAACCTGAAGCCCTAAACACGAAAGCACTAACCCAAACCCTAAAACTTAAAACCATAAGCCCGAGACTAAACCTAGACCCGTAAACCCCTCAACCCCTCAAAACCCCAAGCCCTGAAACCCCAACCCTAACCCTAAACCCTAATCCCTAATCCCTAAACCCTAAACCCAGACGGCCAGAGGTCGGAAATGGCTGCAGCGGGAGCTTGGCGCGCTCTCCGGCCTTAGGCTTTTGCAGGGGACTCACATGGCAGGGTTTAGGGTTTAGGTTAGGGTTTAGGGTTTAGGGTTTAGGGTTTCGGGTTTAGGGTTTATGGTTTAGGGTTTAGGGTTTAGGGTTTAGGGCTCCCGTGAAAAAAAACCACATGAAGCAAAGGCTGCCTTAATTTTTGTTCTTGAATACAGTTCTTTGGGTCTCGGGTCTTGCCTGGGTAGACAAGGTTTGCTTTCGGAGTTTAGCCCCACACCAACCCCCAAACCCTATACACCCCACATACACTAAATAAGCCCTAAAGAGACCCCCCCAAAAAAAAAAAAAAAACACAAGCCCTAAAATTCCCATGAACCCTCTATGGGGGTTTCCGAAATCAGGGGTACTTTATTGGGGTCCTTATGATAAGGGCAGACTACTGTTTGGGGGGTATTCCTACTATTTGCTTAAGAACCCCAAAAGAATGAACAATGAAAACCCGATATTCCCCTAGTAAGGAAGAGTATGTTTTTGTGTTTTTTTTTGGCTTCTTAAGCAATTAGTAGATTAGGGGTCCCTTTATTTCGTAAGCCCCCATATACACCCTAAACCCTAAACCCTAAAC